CTGGTCAAGCGTCATTGGAAGTGTCACCCGTCCCTTCTTGGGAGCTCCACCACTACCACCATCACCACATACACAAATTGAAGCTAGTTATTTATTCCCTTCCCAATGTTGATTTTATTATAGTCAATGTTGTGAAAATTGTGAAAATCAGAAATCACACACACTTGATTGCAGTTTCTTCTCAGGAATATGGCAGGGGTATTGAACTCACTGCCTCAGTCGTGGAGGGCAAGTGCTTCTGCCACTGAGCTACTCTGGGTCACTGGTTTTATTTTTATAAGGGGGGGTGAGGGGTAGTAGAAGGGAACCTGCTGAGGCCACAAAAGCAGGCTAGAGAGACAATAGAGCAAGCAGGATACTTGCTTGCACAAAACCTACGTGGGTCCAACCCCTGGCACTATATATGGTCCCCTGAGCTGCTAGGAGTGATCCCTGAGTGCAGAACTAGGAGTAAGCCCTGAGCAAAGCCTGGTGTAGCCCAATGCCTCCTCCCCTTCCTCCCACCGCCCCCCCCATCTCCCACCCCAAAAAAGCTCAAAGATCAGAGAAAAAGAAACTATAATCTTCCACGACATATGTATAACAAAGGACAATAGAAAGCCTTTATACTAAACATACAAAGCTATTTTCTTGGCCTCACCCTATAGTATTCTAGCTTTTTTTTTCAAATGCACTTACTCTATTTGCATAAATTAAACATAATTTTTTTGTTTTTGGTTACACACATAGCAGTGCCTAGGGACTACTCTAGGGTCATTGCTCATTCCCAGCAGGACCCTGTGACAAGTCAAACCCAGAACTCTACTTGCAGTATGGACTAGCCTTTCGAACTTGTTCCTCAGCCCCTTAAATACATTTTATTTTTAGGGGGCACACCTGTTGGTGCTCAGGGTTTACACCTGACTGTATTCAGAGATCGCTCCTAGTGAGTTCAGGGGGCAATATAGGGTGCCAGGGATCGACCCTGGGTTGGCTGCATGCAGGGCAAAAGCCCTACCTGCCGTATTATTGCTCTATCCACTTAAAGACATTTTTAAAGAAATTGAAAGTAGTGTCTTACATTTTCTAAACTGTATTTTAAGGTTCTTTACTTCTCTATGAAGAAAATCAAAGTAGTTATCTATTGAGCTTGTTAAATGGTGACAAATGGAGATTTTCCAAGATACCATGTAATAAAGACTCACCCTTATTCTCCCTGAGAGTAGACAAAATAATTTTTAAGGCACCCAACGCCTGCTCCCCCTTGGCGGCTTGGTGGCTGCCATCTTCCAGAGACCCTGAGTTGCTGCCCACGAATGGCCTCTCTGGCTCCTAATCAAGCTGCTTAATGGCCATGATCCCAGAGGCTCACAAACAAATCTTGAAACCCAGAGGCTTTTGGCAGAAATGCATCTGTACCGCGCAGTAGGTTACTGTTGTCGGGCTACCCCAAGGGGGAAAGGGCGCTGTCCCTTCACCTGCTCCCCTTTGGCGCTTGGTGGCCGCCATCCTCGAGGCCACTGAACAGTCAGGTTTGGGCCCTCAGTGACAAGACACACAGGGCCTCACGGGATAGGGGTGGAGCTGGCCCTTTCCTCCCCATTTCAATGAGACCCCGAGTTGCCGCCCACAAACGGCCTCTCTGGCTCGTGATCAAGCTGCTAAACAGCCATGATCCCAGAGACTCAGGAACAAATCTTGGAACCCAGCAGGTCCTGGCAGAAATCCCTCCAGATTTGTTAAAATTTTGGAATTTCAAAATCAACTGTCACTGTCCTCCCGTTGTTCATCGATTTGCTCGAGCGGGCCAAGTAACGTCTCCATTGGAGACTTTGTTGTTACTGTGTCTGGCATATCGAATACTCTCGGTAGCTTGCCGGGCTCTCCGAGAGGGGTGGAGGAATCGAACTCGGGTCGGCCGAGTTAATTTTATTATTAATGTCTATTAATTGCAGCACTGTAGAACTGTCGTCCCATTGTTCATCGATTTGCTCGAGCGGGCCAAGTAACGTCTCCATTGGAGACTTTGTTGTTACTGTGTCTGGCATATCGAATACTCTCGGTAGCTTGCCGGGCTCTCCAAGAGGGGCGGAGGAATCGAACTCGGCTCGGCCATGTTGGCTGCGTGCAAGGCAGACGCCCTACCGCTGTGCTATCGCTCCAGCCTGTTATTCATAAACAGCAACAGAAAACAAATCATCTATTATTGCCTTTTTGGCAGATCCGAGTGTTGGGGTAAAATCCCAAATAATAAAGGTGGGTCTGGTGTCAAAATATTGAATGCAATCAAAGTAGAGAGAGAGAGAGAGTAATGTGGAGGTCCTCTGCCCCACAGGTAGGGGGAGGGTATGGGATGAGGGTATACTAGGGTTTTTGGTGGTGGAGAATGGGCACCGGTGAAGGTTCGGGTGTTTCAACGAAGAATGAAATGTACAATGTAGAAGTCTTTCAAGACTTAAACCTGTAACTGCTCTCGCAGTGATTCAATAAAATTGTAAAAAATGAAAAAAGTAAGCTGAAGTTCATGCCCAATTCAATCAGCCTAATCAGTGGCTGAATAAATAGCAGTACTCCTACATGAAAAAAAAAAGGCAACCAAGCTGCTATACATTAAAATAATAAAAGCAGTACCAGTGAGCATTCATTTACTAATCACAACAAGCATGACTAGGGATAAAAATGAGACTTACAGCCTGGCAATAAATTTAACTAAGTGGAATTATGCTATCTTTCAACATTTCCCCAAAGAATACACCTAGTCTGAATATACAATGCCGTACCTGTATTAAGATTGACATAACAATTTTTGGAAGTCAATCTTAAGCCTTTCTAAAATGATGAGCAGAGCCAATCAATTTTATGCTACAGAGGTGGGAATGTGGAATTATAATATGGTTGACCCATCAATGGCTTTATTAACTCTATAAATAGCATCAGTTATTAATATCACACTGGCAAAAATACAAAGCAGTAAAAATCAGCAATGGATTAAGACACTTGGCAGTACCATTAACTTCTTTACTGTTATATAAATTTGTATGCTTAGAAAATGCCTTTTCTGTCTCTACTAAGAGTTCAAACATACTGAATTTGAATTTTTTAAAGCCAAATTTATCCCATTTTCGTTTAGATCATGGGCACATAACATTATTTAGTTGTTTGAATAAAAGCAGTAGTTCAGCTACGGATTTTTATTTTGGGGCCCCAACCATGATGCTCAGGGATCATTCCATGCTGGGGCCCAGGAAAGACAAATGGTACCAGAAATTCAGCGGTTGTGTGCAAGGCAAGGACCTTACCTGTTACACTCTCTCCTCAGACTTTGCTTTTTTTTTTTTCCTGGTGATAATCTACTTGTTCCTACTTGACTGGGGAAGATTCATATCCCAAAAAGGAGTCTGCGATAGTAGCAATTTATCAAAAGATTACCCATAAAACATACGCTGGATTTATCTGTGGTTAAAAAATAGAGGGCCCAAGCCATAATATGCCCCTCTGGATATACCTCCTGATACCCCCCCCCAAAAAAGAAACCCCTTAAGCCCCAAGTATCCATGACACTAGCTAAGCTTCTTCCTTGGAAGACTGCATGCAGGCAGTCTTACCACTGAACCACACATCCAGTCCTCTAGTTATGATTTTGACAAAAATGAGATGAAAAAATTAAAAACCAAACCAATAAAACCAAAACGCCTTTTAACAACGGAATAATAAAGCTGTGCTCCCCAAAAGTCAATTGTACGCTTTTTAAATCCCAAGAAAGGCGAGAATAAGCCTTACCAAATACAATTTTATGGCAACAAACGTCACCTCAATATTAGTAGCGTGCACCTGAAGAGTTTCTGCACCGCTCCCTTCTTTTCAAACGGCGACACTCACTGGCAACGACCACGCCAAGCTGTCACGCAGCCTGACGACGAAAAACCTAAGAGGGGCCCTGCCCCAACCTGAGGATACGGCGGTAACGCAGCATCACCACTCCAAGGCCCAGGGGCCATGCGTTGGCAGCGCCCCAAATCGAGACACACACACACACCCCGCGAAGGTGACGCCAACCCTCCACCGGGCACGTGCTCAGTCCCACACAAATAACGTTTCTGAAAAGCTCCCTCGAAGGGCGAGTAAACAACCCATCCCCATCAGTTCAACTTAAAAAAAAAAGCCAAAACCCTGCCCCCCACCGTCCCCCCTCCACACGACGAATTTGTACACTGCGGATATTTTTAACTCCAGACACTGGCAAATGTGTGAAGTCAAGGGGGGGGGGGGGAGGGTAAAAAATAAAATAAAAAGGGCCAGACTGGAGCCTCGTCGGGCCACTCCGCACCCCAACCCCAACCAACGGCGAGACCCTCCTCCCGAGCGTTCCCCTCTCTGCCCTGCAGACGAGTCGAGCTCGACGACTCTTTCTCTTTAATGATTTGATTTTGTCTCTTTTTTCTCTCCCCTTCGGGTTCCCGGCTCGGAATTCTCCACCCACAGCTCCTCGATCTTCCAGAGCCCCCCCCCGCCCAAATTAAACAAAGTAAAATAAAAAATAAAAACACCGGCCAGGAAGCGAGGTCTCGCCCACAGGCCCCGCCGAGAGCAGCAGTCAGGCCCCACCCCGCAGCCCCGGCGTCCCCCGCCCCCAGGCCCCCCAGGCACAGCCGCGGCCCCGCCGCCTCGCCCCAGACCCCTGCCTCGGCGCGTCCGCACAGGGCTGGGGGGAGGAGGGTCCCGCGCGGGGCCCAGGTCGCTGCCCCGTCCCGGAGCCGACTGGCGCGGCCGGGAGGAGCGGGGCGGGCGGGGCGGGTCCCTGGGAACGGGCTGGGGCGGGGGCCGCGACGCCGGCCCCGGCCCGGTCCGCTCCCGCCGTGCGAGGGCCGCCGGGCCGGGCGGGCAGGGGCGGAGGGAAGCGCCGGCCTGTCACTGCAGCGGGAGCGGCCTGCGAGGGCCCTGCCGCCGCCCCCGTCGCGCCCCGGGCCCTGCCGGCCGGGCCCGTCTCCCCGAGCCCCAGGGCTTCGTCCCTTGCGCCTCACCAGGTCGTAGTCCTCCTCGTCGTCGCACATGAAATCATCCTCCATGTCCGACATCTTGGCCGGGAGGGGCGGGGAGGGAGGAGAAAGCGGAGACGACCTCCTCCCACAATGCCCCGCGGCCCGCGGCGTCACTCGCGGCCGGCCGTCCGCTCGCGCTCCGCGAGGCGCCGACGGCCTCCACTTCCCGCCCCCCCCGCCCGCCTCGCGGAACCAAGGCGCTCAGCCCGCGAGAGCTTCCGCGACGACGCCAAAGGGCGCCGCACTGCCCCCACTTCCGGTGGGACGGTTGGTGCCCTAGCAACCCGGCCTTAGCAACGCGGGCGCGTCGCGCGGAGAGCTGCGGCCTCGGCGGAAGGCCCCGGCGCTCCCGGCCCGCGGGCTCCAGACTCCTGGGGCGGAGGGAGGCTCCGCCCTCCCGAGGCCTGCCACCCTGGAACCCGTCGTTCTGGTGGAAGGAAGCGGCAACCCGGGTTCCGAGAGCTTTCGCGTAGATGAAGCTCGCGTGCCCGTCTTATACGACAGGTAGAATTTCTGCATCCTTCTCCGGCTGCATCTAGCCCACGCCTGGCGGCGGGCGTTCCTGGACGGAGGGAGGACCGCCCAGTTTCACACGGGCTACTTTGTTGTATTTGTAGACCGCACACGGAGTCTTGTGCTTAAGTCCAAAAGGGCTGAGAGTCAATCGACTGAGGAGCCTTAATCATTTGTGCATTGAGTTACGAACCGACCTCAGAGCCCAGGGGTCCATATTAAGTATAAGTTCACGACTGGTGTATTGAAAATGGGTTTTTTTTTCGATTGTAGAAAATCACTAGAATTGTAAAACGAAAAATGAATTACAAGTAAGGGGATAATCTGCCTTTACAAACCACATTCCCTGATAGTTCCCTAATGTATCCCTAATCCTGTCCATACTCAAAATTCTCATTAAACACAGAATTCCAGAATTAGGAGAGTCTTTAAGGATCAGAGTCAAAGGCTTCCCTAACATGAAATTCACTAGATTTTAATTTTTATTATTTTTTAAAACTTTCCATTCTAATATTTATTAAATTATTGCTTTATTTTTTAGGCTGGGGGGGGGGGTGGAACCCAAGCCTGGCAGTGCTCCTTGTTCTGCACTTAGGGATTGCTTCTGTGGGGATGAGGGGACCATATGGGGTACCAGGAATCTAACCCGGGTACGCCATGTGTCAGGCAAGTGCCCTGCTGTACTATCTCACCAGATCTTACTAGTTTTTTATCTTCCAAATTCCACAACCAAAATTCTAATTCATTGAGTGTGGGATAGAACTCAGGAATCTGTAAATTTAAAGCAAAACTTCCCTGTAAATGGAGTGACTCTAGGCACTGTTACCTTGAGCAGCACTGGTTGAGTAATGTCACAGAATCATTAATCAGTATGTAGCACTCAACAGAAATCCGAACAATAGTAATAATATACTCTGCCTGAAAATCACAGCTTCTCAGAAGTAAACTAGAATCCCAGTGGGGTTTAAGAGATTTAATTGCTCAGAGTAATCAGAGCTACATAGTCTTGTTTGTAAGCCAAAATTGCAACTTAAAAATGAACATATTAAAGGACTGGGGAAAATAGTCCAGAAGGGCTTTGCTCTGAGAGGGCTAGATAGAGCAAACATATGCAGAAGTGTGAGTTCCATCCTAGACACCACATTTGTCCCTCCCCAGCACTGCTTAGTATATCCCAGGTGGCTCCCTGCACTGAGCACCAAACTCAGGCCCATCACTTAGCCAAGTATTTTGGAGAGCAGCTTCTGGTTCCTATCCCTGCTGGAGAGCCTTTCCCCATAGAAAAGTTTTAAAAATAGGTGAACATTTCCTATTAAACAGGATGAAAAGATAGTACAATGGGTAAGGCATTTGTGTTGCATGCAGCCCACCAGGATCTGATTCCCAGCACCACATGTGGTCCCCCAAATCCCGGATGGAGTGCTTCCTGAGACCAGAGCCAGGAATAAGGACTGAACACTGTGGCTCAAAAATAAACAAAAAATTTCTATTAACTATATACTAATATTGAAGATACTAATATTGAACTAGATAAAGATTTATAGTGAATTTATATGATTTTTTTACTTTTAGTGCATTCTTACAACAGGGAAAGAACTTTTCAAGTAAGTTAGTTTCTGAACATTAAGAAAAAGGGCAATTCTCTTTTGCAGACCACAACACCCAAAAGGAGAGAGAGAACACAGGGAATTGCCCTGCCACAGAGACAGGGGGGGATAGGGGGATGGGGGTGGGGGGATATTATCCATGGTGGTGGAAAATGGGCACTGGTGGAGGGATGGGTATCTGATCATTGTATAATCGAAACCCAAGCACAAAAAATTGTAAATCTACAACTGTACCTCATGGTGTTTCACTAATAAAAAAAAAAGAAAGAAAGAAAAAGGGCAATTAAAATTTAAGCATAATATCCTTAGTCATCCCCAAATTTAATAAACCAAGTCTGGAAATTTATAAGAGCAATGAAAATCATCCTCACTGTGCTTAGCACAGTGCTTTATAACATAACTTATGAATGCATATGTTACTTCAATCTTTCTGAGCAGGAAATAACCAAATATTTATGCTTAGGTTCTTCCTGGAGGTTTTATATTAATTTTTAATATTTGCACTTACATCAGCATATTTTCTATTGTAATTAAATTTAAATGTCATTTTATGGGATTGAGGGATAGTACGGGTGCTTGCCTTACATGTCCCTGTTTTAATTTGTGGCAAAGCACATGGACCCCTAAGCACAGCCAGGAGTGGCTCCTGAGCATTGAGCCAGGAGTAGCCCATGAGAACCACCAGGTATGCAACCCCCCCATAGGGTAACATTGGTTTGTCCTTTCTCTTTTGCCCTGGGAGCTTAGGTCTATCCGGTTACACCTATCATGGAGCTCCTGAGACACTCCCATTCCTCTGTTTATCTGTAAACTCTTCTCTGTGCCCTCCTCCCCAACCAGCTAGTCACCTTTTCCGCCTAATCAGATTCTGTTAACCTGTAAGATCAGGTCCTTCTAAGGACACTGAACTTGTAAGTTATGTCTTTTACATCACTGTCACTGCCCTCCCGTTGTTCATCGATTTGCTTGAGTGGGCCCAGTAATGTCTCCATTGTGACAATTGTTACTGTGTTTGGCATATTGGCATATCGAATACATCACAGGTAGCTTGCCAGGCCCTGCCGTGCGGGCGAGATACTCTCGGTAGCGTGCCGGGCTCTCCGAGAGGGGCGGAGGAATCGAACTCGGGTCAACCATGTTGGCTGCATGCAGGGCAGACTCCCTACCCGCTGTGCTATCGCTCCAGCCCATCATATATGTAACATATGTATTATATACGTAATATACGTATTACATACATTATGTATATATAATGGGCTGGAGCGATAGCACAGCAGAAAGGGCATTAGCCTTGCAAACGGCCAACATACCGACCCGAGTTCGATTCCTCCGCCCCTCTCAGAGAGCCCGGCAAGCTACCGAGAGTATCTCGCCCGCACGGCAAAGCCTGGCAAGCTACCTGTGATGTATTCGATATGCCAATATGCCAAACACAGTAACAATTGTCACAATGGAGACATTACTGGGCCCACTCAAGCAAATCGATGAACAACGGGAGAACAGTGACAGTGACATATACAACATATGTAAAGTACTTAACATGAGGGATGGCCTAAGAGATATAATATCAGAAAGTAAATGTTAGATTTGTTTTCAGTTTCTACTCAGGGTCCTTAAGTAGCTTGAGAATAGGTTTTTTTGGGGTGGAGAGAAAGTACAGCAGGTAAAGCACTTGCCTTGCATGTGGCTGATCAGGATTCAATCTCTGATGCCCCTTCTGAGCACTGCTTGGAGTAATCCCTGGGCATTGTCGAGTGTGCCCCAAAAACGGAGAGAGAGAAAGAGTGTTATTTCAAAAAAAGCTTGTTATAAAATTATAACGTGTATGTTTATATTCCAATTATTTCAGTAGCTTGTTAAGCATACTTCACTGTTCCCTTAGATATAGTATTTAGATGTAATTGGATCTCTGGGTTAAGGGTTAAAGTACCTATTTCTTTCTGTTTGTTTTGTTTTTAATAAAAATTTTACCTCCTGATTTAGTTTTCCTTTCTCTTCCTATGTTGCTTATGGCACCACATGGTACCCATGGCATCCCTGAGTACCCATGGGTGTGACCCCATGTCCCCACTTCTACTCCACATGCCCCACATACTGCGAGTGGTTTTGGACCCCCAGCACTGCTTGGTATGGTTTATTAAAAAAATCAGAAATGAGGCCTATAGGTAGTACAGCACCATGTCCCCAACCCTGTTAGATCCTGGTTACCACATGCTTCCCTGAATATTACTGGGGGTAGTCTTGGAGGAATCCTGCCTACCACATGGATGACCCTGGTAATCTCTGGCACCATTGAGCCAGAACAGCACCGCCTCCTCTGGCTCTTGCATTTACTGTAATGTACATACTGTAATGTACATTGTGCATTCTCTGATAACAAGGCTACAGAGAATCTGATAACAAGGCTGGGGCACTGCTGGGCCTCCTGATCAGTGCTTGGGAGTCCCCTCTCCCTGCAAAGAATGAAGCACAATAAGCAACATCTTGGATTTACTGGGATTCAGAAAAAAGAAGGCATTATCACTTCCTTTGAAAGTCATGAGGAACTAAAATAATAGAGGAAAGTTGCTCTGAGGTCTAACTTTGTTTCCATGTTGTTCTGTATATTCTAGGTAGATACCCAAAGGAGTGTCAAATGTGCTCTGCTAATATTGTCGATTCATGTTTTAGCCTTCATCTCCCCATTTTCCTTCCCCAGCAGACACACAGGGAAAGTCTGGAGAGGCACTTGATTGAAAATTCCTCAACTAGGAGACCTTGGGATAGGTAGGATTGCTAGTTGGCTTGACCTGGATTTAATCTCAGCATTCTCTGAGGTACAAAGTGCACTAGATCGCTACTAGAAATCAATTTTATTTCATTCTCCTGCTGGTTAGCAGTGAGTGTGATCTTTGACAAGACATATCTTGCCTGTATACTTACAAGTGTCAAAAAAATAGTGTTTATCCTGCCCCCCCCATGCCACTCTAACCCCATCCTTAGCACAGCCAGACATGACCCTAACAATAGCACTGTTGAACTGTCATCCCGTCGTTCATCGATTTGCTCGAGCGGGCACCAGTAACGTCTCACAACAAATTGTGAGACTTGTTACTGTTTTTGGCATATCAAATACGTCACGGGGAACTTGCCAGGCTTTGCTGGCGGGTGAGATACTCTCGGTAGCTTGCCAGGCTCTCCAAGAGGGGCGTAGGAATCGAACCCGGGTAGGCTGCGTGCAAGGCAAACGCTTTACCTGCTATGCTATTGCTCCAGTCTTAACAATAATAATAAAAACAAACAAATATTTAAAGCCACTCTTCCGGGTACCATATTAGAGCTGCACCACTTGTGTCCTCCAAACACTGGCCTCATAGTGGGGATGGGGTGGAGGCAGTGACTGTTAGAGACAGAAGAAACTATGCAGAACTTGTAAAAACCCTGAAGGAGAGGAAAGAGTAATACAGTAGAGGAATGGGGGGGGGGGGTGTGCTTCTGGAGGTTTGGTAACTGTGCTTTCTAGAGGGAACCGAACTGGATGCTTAGGATTCTTGCAGTTTTGAGACCATCATTACTTTCTTTTCACTATTGGGTTCTAGGAAGGCGCAAGATGCCTCTATTCTAGAAGCAAATGCAATTTCGATTAGGCACCATCCGGTTTAGAAGAAATCCACTTAAGAAGTGATAACTTGGGGCTGCAGCGATAGCACAGCAGGTAGGGCATTTGCCTTGCACGGGCTGACCTGGGTTCGATTCCCAGCATCCCATATGTTCCCCCGAGCACCACCTGGAGTAATTCCTGATCGCAAAGCCAGGAGTAACCCCTGAGCATCTCTGGGTGTGACCAGAAAAGCAAAAAAAAAAAAAAAAAGAAGTGATAACTTAAATATTAGTAGTGTTAACTGGGACGGGAGGTGGGGGGCAGTTCTTGCTGACCATTAAAAAAAATCCCTAACCTAATTAAAAAAAAATAAGAATAAAGGCAGCCGAGGCTCCGTGCTAGGACTCCCTACTGACCCTGTGAGCCCCAGCGTGCAGCGAGAAAACCTTCCTAGCGGGCCTGGCTCGCTTGCAGAAGCCCGGCTGGTGGCGGTCTCTGGAAGCCCGGGCGGCACCGCGGTGGTACCTGACGGCTGCACCCGCGCGCGCGTCCCCGGAGCCCCGGGAGGAGGAGCCGGGGCGGGCCGACTGCGAGCGGCCACCTCGGCGCTGCCGCAGGATTTCCGCAGGGACGGGGCCGGCGATCCCCGGAAGAAAGGGCTGCTAGTGCGTATGTCCCGTGACTCGCCTGTCCCGCTGGCCAGCGCGAGCTGCAGGAGCCAGAAGCACCAGGCGGAACATGACCACGGAGGGTCCCGCCACGCGTCGAGTCCAGCTGGCAGAACATTCCAGGTGGGGGAGAGAAGGCGCAGTGGTGCGGGAGCTGGGTTCCAGGCTTTCCGCCGCTTTACCCGGACGCAGCTTTTGTCCCGGGGAGCGGACCGAGCCCTTGGTGAGGCCGCAGGCAGGGCTGGCCGGCAAGACCGCCCGGCACTTGCAGTTTGAGCTCTTCCAGGAGCTGTGCTCCGCTTCGTCCGTGCAGTCCCGTTCCCTCGCTCTACGGGGCCTTCGCAGAAACACCGATTTAATCCCAGCCCTTCTTTCTTTGTCTCATCTGCTAGTTTTTTTTTTTTTTAACCACCCTTTCTAAAGAAGTTTCATTCAAAAGAAGCAGGCCCCGAACCGAAAAACGAAGATAAGAACAACCTCTCCACGCCTATCCCAGTACATCCCTGCCTCATCAAACAAACTTCTCAGTTTATGCATCCCTTTAAACCAATCTTCCACTCTGTGGCTAGTCATACAGGGAATTGATTGGCTGCTTGTGTATAGCTACAGAATAACTCATACTTTGTTCTGACATTAAGACCCAAAAGCTTCCAAAAGTTTCTAACCTGCCCCACTGAGATTGTCTAGAGTTGAGTTAAATTCCACCGCACCCCCATTTACTATCTAAATTTTACTCCCCCCTTGACTTTTTGTCTCTAATATCAAGTCCACAAGCTCTCCCTACTTCTTAATTTATGCCTGTCATGTGACAATGGACAATAGTATAGCTTTCTAAAACTTGCTAATGTTCTTTCCTCTTTAAGCCATCAACCAGACTCAACCTCACTCCTCTTTAATCACTTCCGACGTTCACTTTCCCCACCCTCATCCTTAAGAAATGATTAATGTACTTTTGATCTCTATAGATTTGCTTTCCTGGATACCTCAAATAAATGAAATCATATGATATTCTTTTTTTGTGATTTGTCTCTGAATGTTTTTATGGTCCACCCCTGTTATTAAATGTTATCAGTATGTCATTCATTTTTCTATGATCAGTTATTCCACGGCATGTATATACTGCATTTTCAATTTGTTTATCAGTTGATGGGTATTTGGGTTGTTGTTGTTTTTACCTGTTGGCTCTGTGAATAATAGTGCTGAATATATATTAAAATATATTCTATAAAGCTTGAAAAATCCCACAATCCCTTCCTTACTATATAGCTTCTGATTTCTTCCTATGCCACCATATGCTTTCTTGCTTTCTTAGAAGTTACCCTTTTTAGCTTGTATCTCTTGTTTTTTTTTTTTTTTTCCTTTTTTGGTCACACTCTTCGATGCTCAGAGATTATTCCTGGCTTTGTGATCAGGGATCACTCCCGACAGTACTCCAGGGACCATATGGGATGCTGGGTATTGAATCCAGGTCAGCTTCATGCAAGGCAAACACCCTACCAACTGTACTATTGTTCCCTTATATGTTTAGATATAAGTAAAAAGCTTTGATTTTTATACTATCATTTAATCCTTATAATACCATTTTTACAAAAATGATATATTAACATGAGTGGAATCTTAGTTGTTTTCCTGTTAATTATTTTTTAGTAGTAATTCTCAGAGACCTGGTATTACCATCTATATATATCCTCCCCATCTGTTGTTAAGAGTTTAAAGTATTTCATAGTATGGATACCATTATTTATTTCACATTCAACTACTAGAATTGTTTAGAAGCACACAGTAGGCCTAAAATGGGGTAACTGTGCAATTCCCCAACCCATAAAATGAAGACAATATAATTTGAGTGTAGTTTATCCCCTAATAATGGAATTTTATCTCTTACACTTTAAAAATATTGACAACTTTTTTTTTTCTCTTTGAGTCACACCTGGTGATGCACAGGGGTTACTCCTGGCTCTGCATTCAGTAATTCCTCTTGGTGGTGCTCAGGGGACCATGTGGGCTATTATAATATGATATGATTCCATATGATACCATAATTGAACCTGGGTCAGCAAGACAAATGCAAGGCAAATGCCCTTCCTGCTGTGCTATTGCTCCAGCCCCAATATTAACATCTTTTAAAATAAAAGTTTGCCCCCTCCTTTGTTGTGATAATGACCGGTTGTGGGGCTCTTGATGTGTTGGAAATCTCAGATCTTCGTCATGCTGGGATGGAACTCAGCATATGGAGTGGTGCTCCAAGGACACTCATGCCTGTGAGGCAGGTATTCTACTACTAGATAAGCCCTGTGCTATTTCTCTGGACCCCTGGACTGGAATTTTAAACCTATCAGCCTAGCATTTTCTCCTTTCACAGAAAGGTAATCCACCTTGTTATAAACACTCTCCCTGCTTTCTCTAAGGCAGAGGTGGGAACTTTCCTTAATGCCCATCCTGTTATAAAAAACATTTGTGGGTCATACGGTGAGTGCAGGCAGGGATTCCTCATGAATCATTTAATAAAGCCAATTAGATTTTCTGATTTACTCAGGTGATTTATTGTTGGGGGGGGGGGGAGGAGGGCTGCTGGTAGTAGACTAGAAGCATCTGTTCAGTCCTGTAGTGTCCCTGGGCCATTCTCTACCCTTCCCCTAATGGAAGGAAATTTTGCCAGAATCTTTTTTTTTCTTTTGCTGATAACCTCCTTATCCCATATTTTTTTTTGCCAATAAGAATCTCCCATTTTGTGTGATTCGTTTGTTATGTCTTTTTCCTTTCATTTTTGTTTATTTATTTATTTGGGGCCACATCTGACAGTGCTCAGGGCTTACTCCTGGCTCTGTACTCAGATTACTCCCAGTGAGTTCTGGGGACATACGAGGTACTGGGGAAACCTGGGTGTCCCCTGTGCAAGATACGTGCCCTATTCATTATACTAATGCTCTGGCCTCCAAAAGAAAAAAATTTTTTAAAGTTTCAAGTATCTATGGCCAGGGAAAATGGGGGCCAGGACTGGTCAATGGTTTGAAATTACCATGAGTATGTGTGGGGTGGAGGGTAGTTAAGATGGAGGAGGGTCCAATATGACAATAATAGTTGGAAATGATCACTCTGGACAAGAACTGAGTGTTGAAAGTGGGTAAAGGGGTATACATGATAACCTTTAAGCATCTGTATTGCAAACCATAGTGCCTAATATGAGAAAGAGAGGAGAGGTGCTTGCCATAGAGGCAGGCTTGGTTGTGGGGGGGGGGATGAATTGGGGGTGGGTGGGAGGGAAACTTGAGACATTGGTGCTGGGAAATTACACTTGTGGAGGGATGAGTGTTAGAACATTGTATGACTGAAATCCAATCATAAACAGTTTTGTAATGCTCTATCTCATGGTGATTGAATTAAAATTTTTTTCAGTATAGAATACTGCTTCATGAATAATTTATGTATTTATTTATTTATTTTGGTTTTTGGGTCATACCCGGCAATGCTCAGGGGTTACTTCCGGCTCTGCACCCAGGAATTACTCTTGGCAGTGCTTGTGGGACATACGGGATGCTGGGGATCAGTCTCATGTCAGCCACAGGCAAGGCAGATGCCCTATACACTGTACTATTGCTATGATACTATCGCTATCAATTCCTCATGAATCATTTAATAAAGTCAATTAGATTTTCTGATTTACTCAGGTGATTTATTGTTGTAGACTCTGGAAGCTTATATACCTATTTAACAATGAAAGGTAAATTGTGACCTACAGAGAGAAATAGGATTTGGACAGCTAGGCAGGTAAAGTAAATGTATGGATTGGGGTAACTAATCCAAGTGAAGAATTATTTTAGTCTTGTTTGTGCATATTTAAGTCTTTGGGATCCTCAATGATAAGTACTGGAAAGGAAGGGGAGATGTCCATTAAATAGAGGAAGGCAGAGAACTTCCCTCCTGCCTGTTATTTCTTACCTGCCTCAAATAATTCTTCTCTGCTGGTTTTGCAATTGCATGGTCCAGCTGATACTCTGACTTTGTATTTTTTAGCCCCCAGAGAGTATATTTGTGTTATAAGCCACTCACTTTATGGTACTTTGTTACAATGATCCTAGGAATCTGATACAATATCCTATGCTCTACTTTCAGTTTAAAGAAAAAATTTTTTTCTGGTTTTGGGGCCATACTGGCTCAGGACTTAGTCCTGGCTCTGTGCTCAGGCATCATTCCTGGCAGTGCTTGGGGACCATATGAGGTACCAGAAACAAGTGCTTTAACCCCTCTACTATTTCTCTGGTCCTAAAAGGGAATCTTTTATAGCTATCACAGAAAAATTATAAAAAAAATTACATTGTTTGTAATTGAAGGAAAACATTTTTTTTTTCTGTGAGGTACATAATTTACACCCTTAAGTCATGTGGGAGATCACCATATTATTTCATCCTAGGACGTTTAAGAAGGACTGTCAGTGGGTTCTTTTTTTTCTTTTTTGGACCAGCAGTTGGGGTGTGGGATATCTTCCAAAAAGTTTTAAGGAGTCCTGGGCCACTCTTGGCAATATTCAGCTAGTTGTGTAGATCTGAAGGTTTAGTGATTGTATTCAGTGCTGAAGTGGTACTTGGATCCAGTGGTGAGTACCACAAGGGATAAACTTGCTGATCCTTGGGGGCCTACGCAGTACCTGTAATTGAACTTGGGCTTCTGCATGCAAGATAAGTACTCTGAGGTGATGAAATGTGTGTGTGTGTGTGTGTGTGTGTGTGTGAGTGTGTGTGAGAGTTTTCATTATCCATTTCATTATATGGATATTTTAAATACTGTTTTTAGGTTGCTGAAGCTAAAGGAGATGTTTAATTCTAAGTTTGGATCCATCCCCAAGTTTTATGTTCGAGCACCAGGAAGAGTCAACATAATAGGTATTTCAAAAGTTCCTCTTCTTAATTTTTTCCTTTTGATGAGATTTAGTGTGTGTGTTTCGTGTGTGCGATGCTGGGGATGAAACCAAGGGCCTCACGTATGCAAGGTAAGTGCTTATTGCTAAGCCACATCCCTGGCCCAAGATTAAAAATAGTGTTAAGCTGTTTTCCTTGGAAAACTGCAAAAATAGAGCATTTCCTATATATTTACTAAAGCAAGTTTTGCATAAGGAACACAAATACACTTTCATCTTTCCAATGAACTATTACTGATTAATCTATACATGTTAAAGTTTGTTCACTTATTTATTTAGGACCCTTTCAAGCTACATTCAGCAAGTGTGGGACCCACTTCTATTTATTCTCAGTCTTAACTACTACATGGTTCAACCCTTGAGCCGCTGAGAGGCAATACTTCTTGGGACCACAATGCATGTGGGGCTATGAGGGGCCCTCCTAGTGGCACTGCGGGGAGGCACGGTGGTGTTGGGAGTCAAACTAAGGGTCTCAAACATGAAGACATGCATCCTAACCCTTTGAGCTCTCTCCCTGACCTTGTGTGATTATTTTTTTAAATATTTTTTTAAATTGGGTCACACCCAGTGATGCACAGGGGTTACTCCTGGCTCTGCACTCAGGAATTACTCCTGGTGGTGCTGGGAGACCATATGGGATGCTGGGAATTGAACCCGGGTCGGCCGCATGCAAGGCAAATGCCCTACCTGCTGTGCTATCACTCCAGCCATGTGTGGTTATTTTTTTAATTGGTAAATTTATTAGACAGTGTTAATATTGTTTCAAGAGAGATGAAAATCTTTTTTCTGTGCTGTGGCTTAACTTTTTAGAGACTAGTGAGTACTTACAATGTTTTAGATTTACTTATTGGATTAGAACACTGGATATCCCTATTATTGACTTGTTGCCTTTAAAGGGATGGCTTGGGGTGGGGATGCAACTCAAGAGGCAGAGCACATACCTTATGTGTGGGATACTCTGTTTGATTCCCAGTACTGCATACCCCCAGCTCCCCATGGTATTGCCTGTTTGGCCAGTTAGCTCCTGAACATTACAAGCTAGATTTTTCCCCAGTATGGCCACTACACGTGCAAAGAAGACAAAAGAGAATAGGGAACTAAATAACATTTGAGTTAAAGGCAGGTTTAATGGAAAATCTTTCATATTTCAATGGAAAATATAGGGTGATTAGAGGCCACCCCCAAAGCCTCTATTCCTCTCGGAGAGCCTGGTAATCTACCGAGAGTATTCCGCCCGCACGGCAGAGCCTGGCAAGCTATCCGTTGTGTATTCGATATGCCCAAACCAGTAATTACAATGGGTCTCATTCCCCTGACCCTGAAGGCGTCACCAATATGGCAGCATTGAGAAGGATGAGGAAGGAGAGGCTGATAAAATCTCAAAGCCGAACTAGGCTGCCAAAACAAAGAAAGACAAAAATGATTGTCTGTACTTTCAATGCACGTATGCTGGCATCAGATGAATCCGAGGATCTGATGGTACAAGTGCGAAAGATTAAGTACAACTTCATTGGTCTGACCGAGACAAGAAGACATCAATCACATCATGCCGTTTTCGACACTGGAAGAACTGTTCCTTGGAACATGCCATAAAAGAGGCGTCGGAGGCATCGGTGTCCTTGTCAACATGAACTTGGCCATGAGCATTGATTCATTTGAATGCCTAACAACCTGAATCGGACGATTACACTTGAATAGATGTGGCTCACTGCTGGCAGTTTCTATCTTCGTTGTCTACGCACCAACATCCAATTATGATGAAGGAGACATTGAGAAGATCTACATGGAGCTGGAGAAGTTCTACAAAGAAGACCAAACCTTCTACAAGATCGTTGTTGGTGATTTTAATGCCAAGATAGGACCGAGAAGATCAGCCGAAGAACTCCATATTGAGACCCATGGCCTAGAATAGAACAAACAGGGTGAGAGACTATCTGAGTTCATCATGTCAACCAAGACCATCCATGGTAACTCACAGTTCCAGAAGGCTGAATCTAAACGTTGGACATGGGAGTCTCCCAGTGGATGGTTCCACAACGAAATTGACCACATCATATTCAATCGATGGTTTTTCCTGACCAATGTCGCTGTTGTCCCAAAATTCCAAACGGGATCGGACCACCGTCTCCTTCATGCAAAATTCTACTTCACAGAGTGGGGAGAAAGTTCTCTTAAGAAGAGAACTCCCAGAACGACCACCAGCTGGGAGCTCTTTGGTACTATTGCTGCAACCTGGGAAGATGCTGTTGTTGACAACATTGACGAGGAATACGATCGACTGGTTCAGCACCTCCATGATTGTGTTGTCTACCCACCAACATTCAATTATGATGAAGGAGAAATTCAGGAGTTCTACATGGAGCTGGAGAAATTCTGTAAAGAAGACCACACCTTATATGGAATGTCAAGAGAGAGATAGCCACAAACAAAGCCTGTCTTCAAAAACTCTTGAACTTATTCGCCAACGTAGTGTGGCACATGCCTCAGGCAATTGCAAGGGAATGTCCGAGCTCACAAAGCAGTGCAGAGAGGCGATCGAGAAAGACCTCAAAGAGAGAAGAGCAGCAGTGCTGGTAGATGCGGCAGAAGCCGGGAAAAGCATTCGTAAAGCCCACCTGTCCTTCACCAACTACAGGATCAAGATGATTGCCCTCCAACGTCCTGATGGATCTATCACATCTTCCAGAAGAGCAATGGAGAAGATTATCCATGACTTCTACTCAGATCTCTTTGAGAGCCATGTCTACCTGCCCACATACCAAATTCCGCAGGATGGATATGTCTTTCCCAATGTTCTCCTTTCCGAAATCTGACACACCATTTTGTTGGTAAAGAAATGAACAGCACCTGGCCCAGACAAGACCTGAACACCTGAAGAACCTGCCATCAGTACTCATCAATATGCTGGCTTGGCTCTTCACACGCTACCTGTCTGAAGGCTCCGTCCCAGTGGAAAACCAGCAGGACTGTACTACTGTACAAGAAAGGAGACATCCATGACATTGGCAACTATCACCTGATCTGCCTATTGTCTGTCATCTACAAGCTGTTCACTCAAGTCATCCTCAATAGGATTGGCAGAACACTACATGAAGGACAACCATGCGAGCAAGCCAGTTTTTGAAAAGGATTCAGCACGATTGACCATATCCACATGATAACCAAGCTCATTGAGGTTTCTCGGGAGTTCAAGATGCCACTCTGTCTAACTTTCATTGATTTAAAGAAGGCCTTTGGTTCTGTTGAGACAGAAGCAGAAATTGAAGCCCTAGCCAATCAGAGCATTCAAACTCAATACATCAGGATTCTCCATGAGCTGTATTACAGATTTACTGCCAGGATCTCCCCATTCTACAAAGAAGTGATAATCCATGTCAAGAGAGGGGTTCAGCAAGGTGATACCATTTCAGTGAAACTCTTCAGTGCCACCCTCGAGAACGTCATGGGATGACTGGAATGGGAAGGAATGGGAGTGACGATAGACGGTCGGCAACTACACTACCTCTGCTTTGCTGATGGCATTGTTCTAATAACACCAAACATTAGCTAAGCGGCACAAATCCTGGCCGACGTCGACCGTGAGTGTGGAAAGGTCGGACTACAGCTCAATCTCATGAAGACAATGTTTATGACAAATGGTCTCCTTCCTGATGTTCCATTCACTCTCATCGGGACAAACATCTCCGAATGCAACAGTTATATGTACCTAGGTCAAGAAGTCAACATGACGAATCACCTGGCACCTGAGATACACAGGAGGAAGAGAGGGGTTTGGAACTCCTTCAAGAGCATCGAAGAAATAGCTAAGAGGACAAAGAACCTCTGGCTCCAGGCACATCTGTTCAATTCCACTGTTCTTCCTGCATTAACATATGCCTTAGAGACCTGGGCCCTATGAAAACAGGATGAGAATGCTATTCAGTTCTCCCAAAGAGGAATTGAAAGAGCTGTGCTTGGAGTATCATGTTTCACTCAAATGAGAGAAAGAATCCGGAGTTCCAACCTCCATGGATGGTCAAGAATCAGGGACACTGTCTCGTTTGCCAAGGTGTCAAAATTCAAATGGGCTGGACATGTAATGAGATTTGGAGATGACCACTAGACTAGAGCTGTTACTGACTGGATTCCATGGAACATCAAAAGACCGCGTTGCCGCCCACCTACCAGATGGTCAGATTTCTTTGTCAAGACCCTGAACGATCGATTTGAGGCTCTTCATGTTCCTAGAACGAACAGATGCCATTGGGCTACACTAGCACACAACAGGGACAAATGGAGACGTTACTGGTGCCCACTTGAGCAAATTGATGATTAACGGGAAGTCAAGTCATTCAAGTGATTGGAAAATATTAAAATATTTGAAACGTTTTGGAGTAATATAATGAATGAACTTCCATAAGCCCAACAACCAGCTTCAGTTACTATAAACACTGTAATTTTATTTTGAACCAAATAATGGAGGATTTGAAAAATAAAGCAGCTGTTTGACCAGGGTTAATTGAGGGAGAGAGATGGCTCAAAGGTCTGGAGTATGTGCTTTGTAAGCAGGAGCCCTTGGTTTTTTCCCTGGTAACCACCTGGTCCTCTGGGCACTGTCAGAAGTGTCTTGAGCACTGTGCTTGAAGGAGATACCCCATTCCTACCCCAGTACAATCAAGTGAGGCCCAAAATTAAAAAATTATGGGAGGGAGTAGGAGTGAAGCCATTGAAGAAAAAGAAGCACAGAGCTGAGGAGGAAGGAACTACTAGATTCAGATTTTGTAGGAGTCAGGAGGGGCTGGCACTTTTCTGTGGGGCCGTGTTGAGTGATGACTGGGGGTCCAACGCACTGATCTGTAGTGCTCAAACATTTGGTCATGGTTCTTGCCAGGGATTGCACACTAAGTTACAGATCCCGTCTTTGACTCTAGCAGCAGCCAAGGAAAAAACGGTGCAGGCTTGTGTAGGGAAATGTTTAGTTTTGGTTCAGAAGGTACCAAAAGGGAGGGAGTTCTTGGGGAGTTGGAGTTGTCAAGGTTGAAGAAGTCAGAAAATGATGAATGGCCAGTGAAAGGGTGCAAGAGGGATAAACAAAAGGCTTGCTTGGTAGCTTGGAGATTTGGTTAGGGCTAGAGACCGCAGGAAGAAGAGAACAATCTGTAAAGTCATACCATCTGGAAACTTCTTCCAGTCCCCTCAGCTGGAGTAGGCTGCCAATGTCTGGCCTAGATTAAATTTTTTTTTTGTTAATTTGTTGAGGTAAAATTAATTTCTAAGTGGGGTTTGGTTTTGCATGGAGGTTACGAGAGAAGGACAACAGTATAAGGAAGTTCATTGTACTGGCAGAAAAGTCCTGTGTAATAATGAACGTGGCACTTAGGCTGTGTAAAGAAAGAAAGAAGGGCAGAGGACAAAGAAGTGAGTCTGAAAAACAGGGAAGTGGGGTAAACTAAGTAAGGCAAAGGAGAAAATGGGAGTTTTAGTCATGAATACAATACTGAGCTGGTGTTAAAACGTTGTATGCATGAAACCCTACCATGAACTGTATTGCAAATCACGAAGTGTCAGGAAAAAGAAAGTAGTACATGATATTTGAAACTAAGCTTTCATAGGTAGTGAAGAGATAAGATTGTTATTATTGGTTATTATTGGATTTGTCAAGGCCATGGGAGCAGATGGTTGTGTCTGGGAAGTTTTCTTTTTTCTTCTGTTGTTTTTTTTCCCCCCTCCTGGCTCTGCACTCAGGAATTACTCCTGACGGTGCTTGGGGGACCATATGGGTTGCTGAAGATTGAGTCCAGGTTGACTGCGTGTAAGGCAAATGCCCTACCCACTGTACTGTCTCTCCAGCCCCTGGGAAGTTCTCTATGTGCATGTGATTCGGGTGGTAGTAGGGATGGAGACCTGGGACAAGGAGCCTGAGAGCAGGAGATGAAAGTGAGGTGGAGACGGAGAGAATGCAGCCTGAGTTCTGCAAGACTAGATGGTAAACAGGTCTGGCAGCAGCACAGTGGAAGTGGGGGTTTGCCCCACTGCTGAAGAACAGCTCAGCACCCCATTACATGAGGAGGGTCAGGCTGCGCCAACCACTGAGGCTAAGCATTCCAGATTAGGGGCTGTCCTTGGAGGCAATTCACACTTTAATAGTTGATGGACTATTTTCTGATATTGTGTGTATTCATTTTGTTTTTTGTTTTTTTTCGTAATAGCAGTGATGCTCAGGGGCTACTTCTGTCTCTGTGCTTGGTGTTCCTTGGGGTTATAGTTACCTCTCTGCAGTGCTGGGGAATATGTGATACCAGGGAATGAACCTGGCCTGACTACATCTTAACCCCTGTTTCGTTTCTCCTGCCTCTTTTTTCATTTTCAAAAAGAATAGGGCTATGTTTCCAATAAAGTAAACTTGATGCTGGGGATTGAATTAATTGTAGCTTCTCTTAAAAGCATCATTATATTTTCTGTTAAAGTATTCAGATCTAATTATCTGGGGCTGGAGCAATAGTACAGCAAGTCGGGCGTTTGTCTTCCATGTGGGCGACCCAGGTTGATTCCCAACATCTCATATGGTCCCCTGAGCACCTCCAGGAGTCATTTCTGAGTGCAGAGCCAGGAGTAACCCCTGTGCATCGCTGGGTGTGACCCAAAAAGCAAAAAAAAAAAAAAATCGAATTATCTTTACTTGCCAGCAGTTCCTGCTTCCTCCATTCCCCTTCCTGGGGGTGCTTCTATCACCTTTGCCTCTGGGAGGAATCATTTATTCTCACATGACTGCCTACATACATGCTGTAGACTTTCAACTAGAATCTGACACTGCTTGAGTTCTCAGTTTTTGAATGAACTGGAGCGACAGCACAGCAGGTAAGGCGTTTGTCTTGCACGTGGCCAAAAGGGCCAACCCGGCTGACCCAAGTTCAATTAGTCTGCCCCTATGAGAGAGCCCGGCAAGCTACCGAGAGTATCTTGCCCACACGGCAAAGCCTGGCAAGCTACCTGTGACATATTCGATATGCCAAACACAGTAACAAGTTTCACAATGTTACTGGACCTGCTCGAGCAAATTGATGAACAACAGGAGGACACTGACAGTGACAGTTAATTTTCTAACTTGTTTGTGATGCTGGGAATTGAAACCAGGACCTCACACATGCAAGACACGTGCTCTACTGTTGAGTTATATCTACAGCCTGAAGTTATTATTGTCACTGTCACTGTCCTCCCTTTGTTCATCGATTTGCTCGAGCAGGCCCAGTAACATCTCTATTCTGAGACTTGTTGTTACTGTGTTTGGCATATTGTATATGTCACGGGTAGCTTGCCAGGTTTTGCTGTGCGGGCAAGATACTCTCAGTAGCTTGCCGGGCTCTCCGAGAGGGGCGGAGAAATCGATCCTGGCTCGGCCAGGCTGGCTGTGCGAAAGGCAAATGCCCTACCACTGTACTATTGCTCCAGCCCAAGTTATTACTGTGGATTTTCTATTTGTGAACTTCTGTTTTTTAGTGTGGTCTGCTTAAAGAAAGCTGGGGGAGCTGGAGTGATAATACAGCGGGTAGGGCATTTGCCTTGCATGCAGCCGATCTGGGTTCAATTCCCAGCATCCCATATGGTCCCCCGAGCACCGCTGGGAGTAATTCCTGAATTCATGAGCCAGGAGTAACCCTTGTGCATTGCTGGGTATGGCTCAAAAAGAAAAAAAAAAGAAAATTGGGGAGAAAGACAACTTTGAAAATTGCTTCTCTGTCTCTCATTGTCAATCCATAACAAAGAAAACTCGTTTTGTTATCTCATTAAAAAAATTGTTGGGCTGGAGAGATAGCACAGTGGGTAGGGCGTTTGCCTTGCATGTGGCTGACCACGGTTCAATTCCCAGGATCCCCTATGGTCCCCTGAGTACCGCCAGGAGTAACTCTTGAGTGCAGAACCAGGAGTAATCCCTGTGCATCACCAGGTGTGACCCAAAAAGCAAAAAAAAAAAAAAATTGTTTTTTGTTTATTTGTATTTTATTTAAACTTTTTATTTATTTAGTTGAGGTGATAGCACCCAGCTTCCACAGATGCAGTTGGCTCTTCTACCACTGAGCCACATTCCAGCCTTTAATTTTCATTTTTGTTTACTTATTTTGCAGTCCTGGGTATGGAACACATGTGAGGCATGATCTCTATTGCTATTAATACTGTAGCACTGTAGCACTGTCCTCCCGTTGTTCATCAATTTGCTCAAGCAGGCACCTGTAACATCTCCATTGTGAGACTTGTTGTTACTATTTTTGGCATATTGAATACGCCACAGGGAGCTTGCCAGGCTCTACCATGGATACTCTTGGTAGCTTGCCAGGCTCTCCAAGAGGGATGGAGGAATCAAACCCGAGTCAGCTGTGTACAAGGCAAACGTCCTACCGCTGTGCTATCGCTCCAGCCTGCTATTAATATATGAAATTAAATTAATTTGTTTTTTTGGACATAAATAAATAAAACAAACCCCTGTCTGTTTCTCCAGAAACACCACATTTTAAGAAACATATCAATGTAGAAGGAAGACTGGCTACTTTTAATAAGATATGGTGATTTAAAAGTATAATTATGTACTTGAATTACTCTCTATTCATTTTATGTTTCTTGGTTGATCAGTGTTGCCACAGAAAAAAATCAAAGATGAAAACCTGGGGGAAATATAAATGAACTTGCTTTGCTCAAATTTCTTGAATTTTGTTTTTCTTGTATTTAAATCTTATAAACAACAACCTTGAGCTTAAATTTGGAGGAAACACTGTGGAATAACAGGGGAAAATGCTTCTGGTGATGAATAGGGGATTTAGAATAAAAAGAATAGTTTGCATTTTATTTTTGCTTATTTTATATATAACAGTACAGATTGAATTCTAATTTTACTTTGCCTACCTCTGTCAAATAAATTTAACATAACGTATCAGTGCTCACTTAATTTGTTAGACATTTGGTTAAGTGACAGATAAATTAAGCAAAATCTTCACCTTTATTGAGCTTATTGGCTAGTAAGAAACACATACCATTGAGATGAAAGAGATTGTGCTAAAGTATTTGTATTCAAAAAGTTATTACAGGGGCTGGAGCAATAACACAGCAGGTAGGGCGTTTGCCTTGCACGTGGCCGACCTGGGTTCGATTCCCAGCATCCCATATGGTCCCCTGAGCACCGCCAGGAGTAATTCCTGAGTACAGAGCCAGGAGTAACCCCTGTGCATTGCTGGGTGTGACCCAAAAAGCAAAAAAAAAAAAAAGTTATTACAGAAAAATACAAAAGAGCAAAAGAGATAAAAAGATAACATTTGGTATTTCATTTAAGTGGTCATAACCATAGGTATTTCAACATGATCATTATGAGATAGAAAGTGGGGGGAAATGAGGCTGGAGTGATAGTAGGATGTTTGCCTTTTACGCGGCCAAGCCAGCATCCCCTGTAGTCCCCTGAGAACCAGCAGAAATAATCTGTGAGTGGAGGGCCAGGAGTAATCCCTGAGCATGAGCCCCCCTGCCCGCCCAGAAAGGGAGAAAACTTGTGAAAATTTAAAGAAATTAAAAGTGAACAGAAACTAAAAACTGATGTACTTGTTAGTAGAAGTTCTTGGATCAGATGTCTGGGGTGGGGTGAGGGAAAGAAAATCAAATCACATTCTTCCCATAAGTATTTTTATTTCTGTTAAAACCTGGGTTGTGGGGCTGCAGAGATAATACAACGGTTAAGGCACTTGCCTAGTATGCAGCTGCAGCCTTGACACTGGTTCAAATCCTGGCACCATCGATGGTCCCTGAGCACCAGCAGGTGATGTGCCTGAGCACTAAGAGTGGCCTCTGAGTATAGACTCCAAAACAAAACAAAGCTAAATGAAACAAAACTAAACAGAAAACATCTGGCTCATAGTCTAGTGTTTCCCATCACTTTTATCTATCACTTGAGGTTCTCTGGTTTCATATGCTAGCAATGATTAAATTTCTTTTTTAAAATTTTTTAGGGGAACATATAGATTACTGTGGATATTCTGTTCTTCCAATGGCAGTAGAACAGGATATGTTAATAGCCGTGGAACCTGTGAAAACACACACTCTCCAGTTGGCCAACACAAATCCCTTGTACCCGTGAGTATTTAGTATTGCTTTGTGTAATTGTGTGTGAGCCTGTGTCCATGTGTTTGTAGTTGTATTCAAACAAATTTTTTAAAAATTCTTAATTTGATTGAATCACCATGAGATATAGTTACAAGCTTTCGTGTTTGAGTTACAGTCACACAATGATCAAACACTCATCCCTCCACCAGTACACATTCCCCACCACCAATGTCCTCAGTATACCCTCCCTTTCCCACCCTCCCACTGCCTCCATGTCAGATAATTTCCCCCTTACTCTCTCTACTTTTGGGCATTATGGTTTGCAATACAGACACTGAGAGAGTATCTTGTTTGGTCCTTTATCTACTTTCAGCACACATCTCCCATCCCAACCAATCCCTCCAACCATCATTTTCTTAGTGATCCCTTCTCTATTTCAGCTGCCTTCTCCCTTTTGCTCATGAGGCAGGCTTCCAGCTATGGGGAAATCTTCCTGGCCCTTGTGTCTACTGTCCTTGGGTGTCAGTCTCTTGTTATATCAAAAAATTCTTTAGAAGACATTGAATTTATCATGATTTAATTTATTGTAAGTTTGCAGCTGCATTCTAAAAGAATCTTGGCATATTTTCACGTTTGTTTAACCACTCATTTAGAACATATTTACTGGGTCAGGAATGTAGCTTAGTGGTGGAACGTTGCTGTACAGGTATAAAGCTTTGGATTTGATTCCCTGTACCACAAAAACAATCAGAAAAACAAAGGAAAAATCAATTACTGAAGATGTTCCATACACCTGACATTGTTTCAGATGTTGGACAATGCAAACTCTGTCCTTTCCCAAAAGGTATTTATCCTGTATTGAGTTAATTCTCTCCAGCTAAGTTAGGACTGATTCCATTCTTGTATTTCATTATGATGCCACCTTTTTTTTAAAAAAATTTTTATTAGTGAAACACCATGAGGTACAGTTGTAGACTTACAAATTTTTGTGCTTGGATTTCGATTATACAGTGATCAAATACCCATCCCTCCACCAGTGCCCATTTTCCACCACTATGTATCCCTGTATCCCTCCCACACCCATCCCCCCCATCCCACCCCACCTCTGTGGCAGGACATTCCCTTTTGTTCTCTCTCTCCTTTTGGTTGTTGTGATCTGCAAAAGAGGCATTGAGTGGCAATCATGTTCGGTCCATAGTCTACTTTCAGCATGCATCTCCCATCCTGAGAGGATCCTCCAAATACCCTTTATTCTCTATCTGAGCTGCCCTTTCCCCTAGAATGCCCGGCTGGCTTCTAAGCCATGGAGTAATCCTCCTGGTACTGATCTCGGCTATTCATGGGTATTAATCGCCTATTTTGTTTATGATGCCATCTTATTCTCTTATCATAGCATCTTTGTGTGTGTGTGTGTGTGTGTGTGTGTGTGTGTGTGAGAGGCGGGGCACAGTTCGTTGTGATGAGGGATCAGTCCTGATGGTACTCAGGAAACCATATGCGGTTCTGGGGATTAAACACGGATCAGTGGAATGTGAGGCTAGTATCTTCCCCACTCTACTATCTCTCTGTTCCCTGTCATGGTAGCTTACCATTTTACTACGAATATTACCATTATTTACTTACTTAGCTAGTATAACCAGTAGGTTGTGTGCAATGTGACTTTAGATATTGTTGCCTTTCTTTAATGATCTAACCTCACCGTCAAATGAGTCTGGCGCATAAAGGATGTCAGTGTTTACAACATATGCTTTGTCAAGATGAGGACATTTTTAGCTGCATTATAAAATTCTTAGTTTGCTAAGATTAAAAGTTTATTAAAGGGTATTAAATTTTTCAAAGGTCTATTCAGTATTGAAAATTAGTTTTAAAAAATATGATTAATTGCATTGATGGGCTTTAAATTGGTCAGCTCTCTTTGCATTTCTGGGATAAGCCCTGTTTGCTTTTTTTTTATTTTCTGTTTTTTTTAAATTTATTTTTTATTTTCAAGGGGAAATTTTTATTTAATTTAGTCCATTCATCTGTTTTGGTTCACAACTCAGGTTAGTCAATGAAAACAAATTAATTGCAGTTAAATTTAAATTGTTATTTCACTATTGTGTTTCACATATGATTTTGGTTTTGTTTATGTTGTTAACTTCTCTTTTTTTTAATTTTTAAAGGTTATTTTCAAAATGTTGTTCACATTAGTTGATTACATTCAATATTTCAAAACCAGTTCCACCACCATTACACTTACCACCACCATTATTTTGAATTTTCCCACCACCATTCTAGACTGCCTGCCATAGGCAGATAGTAGATAGTTTATTTTCTATTGCTTATTATGAATATCATAAGAGGTTGCACAGTTGTTTTTGTGGCTGCACGCTCCTGCAGTTCTAAAATTGTAAATGATTGAAGTGCGAAGACATCTCTGTAGCGAGCCAATCCATTCCAAGATTCATTTGTAAGTCTCTGGATCAAGGCCGGCTATGCTTTTAAGCGGTATCCGGAGGCAGTTCGTGGACGAGGCAGCCAGGATCCCCAAAGGGGCGGGGAAAGGGATGGGAAGGGGCAGCCCATCCCTGCCGCCACGTGGCCGGGAGTCTTGAGTCCCTAGTCCCGGGTACCTGGGTTTTTCTTCTGGAAGTTTGTGGCCACCTGGGGTTCATTTGGAGTAGGCAGAGAGAGAATGTCTGCTCCATCTGAGGTGCTCCTGGTAACTGCATGGGGTCCAAAGAAATCTCTGTTGAGCTGTTGTCTTCTGGGATTCATTGCTGAGTCTCCTGTACCTGCTTTTTATTTTGTTTATTTTATTTTTAGCACACCCAGAATATTGCGGAGTTTTTCTCCTTGGTGCTCAGGATACTGTGTGGTGCCGGCTTGAACTCAGGCCTCCTGTATGCAGAGCGTGTGATCTAGTCCTCAGAGTCACACCCCTGGCTGGCTTCCTATATCTGTGCAAATTTCCTTTCCAACTTTTCTTAATAAATCCTCCACCTTCCCCGTGACATATATTTTGATTTGGAAGCCTTTCTCTGTCTCATATTTAAATAATTTTTGACTGACCAAAAAAAAAAATCACAAGAACATTGGCTCAGAGAAGATAGTCCAGGGGTTAAAATGGCACTTGTCTTGCATGTGGTTGACCCTGGTATAATCTCCAGCACAGCATATGGTCCCCTGAGCACCACCAGAAGTAATCTCTGAGCACATAGCCAAAAGTAAGTCCTACTTACAGATGGGTATACGCCTTCAACCCTGAAAGTCATAAAAACAGTACAGAGGAGTTCCACATACTCACTGATGTGTCTCAGTGTGTCATCTCAGGAGAGACATGATGTCCTTTTTCTAGTGATGCTAATTTTGGTCATTTGGTAAGGGTGGTATGTACTAGGTTTCTTTTTTTTAAAAAAATTTTTGGGTCCCACCCAGCGATGCACAGGGCTTACTCCTGGGTCTGTACTCAGGAATTACTCCTGGCGGTGCTCAGGGGACCATATGGGATGCCGGGACTCGAACCTGGGTTGGCTGCATACAAGGCAAAAGCCGTACCCACTGTACTATCGCTCCAGCCTCTGTTCCAGGTTTCTTTGTCATAAGTGTCTGTTGGGGGAAATATTTTGAGTCTATGTGAATATCTTTCTTCCTATCAATTTTAAATCACTAACAATAGCATCATAATTGACAATTATTATATTTTCAATTATGATATATTTTATATTATGTAAATATACCAATCCATTGACAATTCTTTTTTTCTTAATGTAAGAGTATTGCTATTTATTCAGCCATTGAATAGGCTGATTGAATTGGACATGAACTCTGCTCCATTGACAATTCTTTCCACAAACAATTTGCAGCACTCTTTGGTGTTTTGACAAGTAATATTTTCTTTTTTGAAGAACTCCCATCATGTATTTTTCCATCTATTATTTGGCATTTTACTCTAAAGGAGGTAAGGTAAAGGCCCTCCCGTTGATCGTCGATTTGCTCGAGCGGGCCCAGTAACGTCTCCATTGGAGACTTTGTTGTTACTGTGTCTGGCATATCGAATACTCTCGGTAGCTTGCCGGGCTCTCCGAGAGGGGCGGAGGAATCGAACTCGGGTCGGCCATGTTGGCCGCTTGTAAGGCGAACGCCCTACCCGCTGGGCTGGAGCGATAGCATATTTAGAGAAATATTCTCTAAAGGAGAATATTTCCTTCTCTTTCACTTACTAATTTATTAATGTGTATTTAGCATAGATGAATGGAATTTTATCCATTTAATGAATTTCGATACATTATTTTGTTCCTTTCTATTTTTTTCCACTACTGTATAGATTGTAAAGTCAGATGGGAGAGTAGCGAGTGTGAGGAAAGACAGCTTTGAGTACTTCTGCTCCAGTTTGAGGTGTGCCAAACAGCAGGCCTAAGGATGAGTCTTAATGTGGTTCACAACCAGTTTAACAAGGACCATCAAGAAATAAGAAATGGTGTATATTATGCTAAAAATTATTGGTTACTCTCTATTTCAGGGCATAAAAGAGACAGTTGGAAGTAGTTTAGTTACAAAGTCACTACAAGGACTCAACTTTTAGCAGCTGGAAATGTTTGTTGTTTTCAAGTAGACTGTGGAGTATATAATCTGAGCTGATGGATTTCAGTATCACTGTTTTGGCACAAGATGGCAGCAGTCAGCCAGGATTGTGTTGCATAGGGCCTCTTAACAGTTTCTCTTGCTTTTGCAGGGACTTTACGACTAATGTCAAGAACATTCAAATTGACAAAACCAAGCCTCTGTGGCATAATTATTTCCTATGTGGATTTAAAGGAATTCAGGTAAATTGGTTTATACAACACTTAGGTGTAGTTGGAATTATGATGTGTGTTATATTAAGAGTCTTCTTTTTTGTCTTTTTCGTCTCCTTTTGATACTAACTGGGGGGGCTGGAGAGACAGTAGAATGTGTCAGGAGCTTGCCTTGCATGTAGCCAACTAGCGTTTGATTCTTGGCATCCCTTATGATCCTGTGAGCACTGCCAGGAGTGATTCCTGAGTACAGATCCAGGAGTAAGCCCTGAGCGCTGCCGGGTGTGGCCCCCCCCAAACAAACAATTAATACTAATTAATATCTGTCCTATATTGCTAATCCCCATATTTTAGTGAATGGGGCAGACATGACTATTACTGGCTGATGTTCACAGGGGGAAGCAGTTTATAAGTTTATATCTGTTTATAAGTCAGATATACCCAGTAACCACCTGCTTGATTTTTAAAACTTTATTCAAATTTTCTTTTGAAGGAAACATTCTGGTGGTGTTCACATTTTATTTGAAGGACGTGTAGATCTATTCTTAATGGGCTTTGGCATCAGACAGTCCTGATTGAAATTTGACCTCTATTTAGCTATATTAATTTAACATGGAGGCATGTGATAAATAGTAGTCTATTGTTACTACTACCTTAGATAGAATAAAAAAAGATGTAGTGAAATTTATCTGTACAAGTTTTTTTGCTAGAAATGGTAATTCACATTCACATTTATTTAATTAATCATAAATATTTTAATTTTTCTCCTACTTGAAAAACATGAAGGGCAAAGAGAAAACTTAGCTTAGCCATTTTCAAGCTCACTTCTATATTACAGTGATTATTTTAGATCTATCTTATAAAAGAAATTAAAGAGGTGGATTTTGCCTGTACAGAAAAAAAGTGAATGAACTAACCTATGCTTTAGGGAGCTTGTGTTTTTTACCTCTTTGGAACTTCGTCTTGAATAGCCTCATGATTAGCCTGTCCAATTCCGAACTGTGTCACATTTATTTCTAATGTATGGACGTGTACTCTTAAATCTGATGTTTCTGGCTTGAAAGTTCTTCTTCTTTCTTCCTCACCCCTCTGACCTCCCAGACATATAGCAGTCATTTATAAGTAAAGTTATTGGCAGTATTATTATTTGTCTTGTCATTTGAATTAGTGAGATTTCAGTATTTGGAAGCATTTTTCTTACACGTGCAATTTGATCTTTCTTATGGCTATATGCCTTTTTTGTAGGTTGTGTGTAAAAAGGTGGAAAAAATACATGTTGCTTTAAGTTGTTTTAAATTTTTTTAGGTATTAAATTCTTCTCTTTCAGTTTGACAGCTTACTAATAAGCAGAACCAGGTTTGTACTTCTGGCAGAAAAGTAATTAAATGTTAGTCTGTTTGGGGTACTTCAAAAAAAATTTTTGTGTGTGTGACACCTAGTTGTGCTCAGAGATTACTCCTGGCAGTGCTGGGGGACCATTTGGGGTGCCAGGGATTGAACCTGGATTTTCGCGTGCAAGGCAAGCACCTTACCTGATAAACTATCTCTCTAGCTCCCAAGGGTTCTTCAAATTCAAATGCCAGAAAGTTCTCAAGGATGATAGCATAGCGGTAGGGCGTTCGCCTTACAAGCGGCCAACATGGCGGACCCGAGTTCGATTCCTCCGCCCCTCTCGGAGAGCCCAGCAAGCTACCGAGAGTATTCGATATGCCAGACACAGTAACAACAAAGTCTCCAATGGAGACGTTACTGGGCCCGCTCGAGCAAATCGACGATCAACGGGAGGGCCTTTACTTTACTTTTACTTTTATTTAATTGAACAAGGATTATCTCCCTTTGGGATAGAGCTACTACAAAACTGGCAAAACCCACTCACATTCTTTTAAGTTGTTCTACATTTTAATTTAAACATTATGTGATAAGTTTGCAAGTATGATTCACATTCAAGACACCCTGTGGATCATTTTATTGTTAAATATATAGCATTGTCCAAGGACCTTTGTTTTAAACATGCTGTCTGATATTCCATATGAAAGGACATTGGCAGCAGCAGTGTTTTAATTTATAATTTGTATTTCTGGAAAGGGAAATTTTCACATGATTTAAAATCAAGCAGAGAAGTACATCCAACTACATTTTATCTTTTATGAGCCATGAATTTTGTCAGCTTAGAGAAGAAAGAACAAAGAATCACGGGGGTCTTGGGGATATGGCTCAAAGGGCTAGTGAGTTTGCTTTGCATGAGGGTGCCTTGGATTTTATCTCTGCTTCCACATGGCCCTAAGAGTATCTCTGGGAGTGATCCCTAGAGTAATCTTCAGAGCACTGAGCAGGGAGTAATCCCTAAACACTGACAGATGAGAACCCCAAACAAAAGAGACAAAAATAATGGGAAAAGTTTTTTATTTATAGTTTTGTTATTTTAATTGATTTATTACAATTTTTTCCTAGAATAATATGTCTGACAAAATGAATGATTATGTAATGTATGCTAGAGGCTGTAGGGTGTGGGTGCTGCTGGTTGGGCTTTGACAGGGTGGAGACTCAGGCTACCCCTCTCCCAAGATGATTCCAGAGTTTTCAACCTGAAGACCTGTGTACCTGGGAGTTTCATCAGCTTGACATCTCTTCCACGATTGCTCCTGATTATGTAAAGGAAGAGTATTTTATACCTGATGTTGACCTGTTAGGGAAATTTGCAAGCATTATGGTAGGTTTCCTTGAGGAAGAAGTGCTCTTGAAGCATTTTTTTTTTCTTTTTGGGTGCGATGCACAGGGATTACTTCTGGCACTGCACTCAGAAATTACTCCTGGCGGTGCTCAGGGGACCATATGGGATGCCAGGGATTGAACCTGGGCTGTGTGTAAGACAAAAGTCCTACCTGCTATACTATTGCTCCAGCCCCTTGAAGCATTTTTAATCCTGAACCATATATGCTGTCATTCCAAGTGTCTTTGTCTTAGATATCCATCAAAGTAAATTATTGCTCTTCATCTTCTTTATTTTTCTGTTTGTATGTTTTTTTCTGGTCACTCCTGACTGTGTTCATGATCATGCCATGCTGGGATGATCTCTCCAACACAAGTTTTCCATCTTTGAGTCAGAGCTTCATTATTTCTTTGGGCTTGTAGAAATAGAGTTTTCTTGTTTCTTTTAGAGTCTGTATTTTCCTTATTTGTAGCTAAATTGTAATTTGTCTATCTTGAAAGCTACCATATGGCTCAATTGTATCTATAAATTCAAATAAAAGTCTGGATTTACTCAAAAAGTTGACTTGCCTTAAATCACAGTGACAAGTATGCTGGCCCAGGTTTCTGCCTGCAATAGAGAAGTTCTCAGCCAAATCGAAAACCTGGGCCTTACTCCCAGTTTCCTATGTGTAATCTTGGGAAGTTTTTTTTTTTTTTTTTTTAGTATTTTGGTACTCAAGTTTTTTTTATAAATAAAACAGAATGGAGAAAGTTTGGAATGCTTTTTCTTCAGTATTGGGATTGGGGGAAACTTCTGAAGAAAGACATCCCATAGAAACAAGCCACCACTTAATGCTTGACTTTTGTAATAACAATGTTGGGCTATGTTGCATGAAAATTTAACCTGCCTCATTAACAATCATATATTTCTCATCTTGCTACTTGCGAAGTTTAGTTAAAAATGCTTAACATTTTTCCATATTTGTTCAGGTCAACTGATATTCAAGAAAAAGATCATTGAAAGCAATTTATGGGAATGAATCAGTAACTTTTTGTTGGACAAAGAAAAAAGTAATCTCATACCTGGTATACCTTGTGGTCAAGAGTCTTTAAATAAAATCTCATGTATAGTCTCCGTTAAATTGAATTGCACAAGTAGTTTCTATAAATAGCATAATAAGTTCATTGATAGACTTTTGCTCTCTTGGGAAATGAAAGAGAGCCTTGCTACTCCTTGAATCCAACACTGAAGTTACTAGCACTGTTTTTTCTTTCTAATTTTAGGAACACTTTGGTCTTAGTGACCTGACTGGAATGAATTGCCTGGTGGATGGAAATATCCCACCGAGCTCTGGCCTCTCCAGTTCCAGTGCTTTGGTCTGTTGCGCTGGCTTGGTGACACTCACAGTACTGGGGATGAGCCTATCCAAGGTAACCAATTTGGAATGGTGTGAGCCTCAACAGGTTCTCTATTTCTAAAAACATCAATACCTAGCTCTCAAAAGCAGAATTCCATCCTTTGAAAAACTTCTGTCTTAGTTGCTAGGGATGCCTGCCTGGCCAAGCATCGTAGCCTGAGAAATCCTGCTTGTGATAAAACACTGGGAGGCAGCTGGTAGTCACCCCACATTGAACAGGTTTGTGAATAACTGTACTGAAATGTTGTTAGATTCAGTGTGAAGTTTGAGTGCATGCATGCATATATTCCTAGATGACAAGCTAACTTAAGCTTGAGTTTAAGAAATTTTGGACCTTCTAGTTGAGCTTGCTTATTTTCTCCTAAAAATTTAAATTAAATATTTGACTAGCAGAGGGTAAAAAAAGAATAAGAAAAGACCAGGCGGTAAAGAACAGAATAAGAATAGCACTCTGCTTATGCCAGGAGGTTAATAATTGAAATATGTGTATTTTTATACTGCATTGCAAAGAACAAGTGCCTATTTAAAGGAAAGAAACATTATGTTTTGAAAAGAGGTCAGAAAGCCTCAGCTTCAGAAGTTCACATAAATCTCTGACTTTGCAGCTTTGAGCAGGTGTGCTCAGGATTAATTAATGTGTTGGAGTTCTGGTTCAAATAAAATGTTATGATAGGTACTTTTAATCTTGTATATGCACATAGCCAAATTTATAGATAATTTGGGAAAAAAGATTAGGCATCAAGAGAAAGTCAATCACATACTAAATCTTTAAAAAGCCTATTTAAACTTTCACTTTGAAAATTTTATATTTAAGAAGAAGAGACGAAAAATAAAGCTGCTTAATTGTCCTTTATAAGCAATGGCTTATGGGGATGGGGAGAGTAACTTACTATTGTTTTTGTAAGGAGAGAAAGCAAAGGAAAGAAAGTAAAATATGCTTCCATATTTTTATCTTTAATGTGGTGGGTAAATCACATCAAAAGGGATAGATTTTTTTAAAAGTGATGATGCAGTTGGTTTAGGCTCTTACTGTTTTTATGCCAGACACAGTAACAACAAAGACTCCAATGGAGACGTTACTGGGCCCGCTCGAGCAAATCGATGATCAACGGGAGGGCCTTTACCTTTACCTTTACCTTTTAAAAATTTTTAATTGTGATAATGTTGGTTTATATGACTGTAGATGTTTTAGGAGTAATTTTACACCTCTTAAAAATATGTGTTACCCACACTACACCTCCTATTGTCCATTGGGCCCCCCCTATCTTTTATTCTTCTCTGGTAACATCAGTTCTGTAGTTAGAGTTCAGGGGTTTGTTTACATCTGGTTTTGTTTGTTCCCAAAGAGGCTAATTCTATACAGAAGGATAGAATTGGACTTTAGTAGCAAGTAGTAAACATACATGTTGATTTTTCAGTATTGATACCTGGAACTTACATAATGTTATAATGTGACACTCAAGTTTTGTATAGTCCCAGAACATTCTATGCATGAAACCCTATCACAGATTGTATTTTAAATCACAGTGCCTTAAAAAATTGTTGAAGTGTTGGCAAGATGGTACGTGAGTTTAGGTACTTGTCTTGTGTATACTCCCATCCCAGTTTGAGCCCCACTACTTCAGTATGGTCCCTTGAGCATGTAGTAATTTGGATGAAAGATAACAGAATTGATGCTGGTCCTGGTAAGTCATGTTGAGAAATTCAGGCTTTATTCCAGGAACTGTGGAAAACCAACATTTTCTCATCTGGGGGGTCAAACAGCCCTTGGTGTGGGTCTCAGAATATTCCAGGGTCAGGGGCACTGACAAAAATTGCATAAATGGGAGTTATGGCATGAGACCAGGTTAACAACCAGTAGGGGAGAGGTACCACAGGAAGGAAACAAGTTTGGAAAGGAGTCATGATTGGGGGGAAAAAGTTGAGAAAAACTGATATAGTAAGAGGAGAGTGACACTGTTATAAAATCTAGATTTGAGGATAACAATTTGGTCAAGGGAAGTGGTAGTGAGAGAGAGATATTTTAGACAGAGTCAACAGGACTTGATTATTGGTTGGGTGTGGGAATAGGGGGACAGTGAAGAGTTAAGGACTATAGGCTTGTTTTTCATTGGAATAAGTTATATAAATGAAAAATCAGTTTTGAGGAAAGCTGAAGGAGTTAATGTGAGGAATCATTTGGGCATAAAGATGAAATTCTCGTAAAGTAACAGAATGGGAGACTAACACCCAAGAATAGTAGAGATAAGTACCAGGAGGATTACTCCACAGCGTAGAAGCTGGCCTCACATGCTGGGTGAAAAGGCAGCTCAGATAGAGAAGGGACCACCCAGGGTTCTAGGAGGACCTGCTCGAGATGGGAGATGCATGCTGAAAGTATACTATAGACTGAACATGGTGGCCACTCAATACCTCTATTGCAAACCATAACACCCCAAAGGACAGAGAGAGCAAAAGGGAATGCCCTGCAACAGAGGCGGGGTGGAGTGGGTGGAATGGGGTGGGGATGGTGGGAGAGATGCTGGGACCATTGGTGGTGGAAAATGGGCACAGGTGGAGGGATGGGTACTTGATCATTGTATGACTGAAACAAAAGCACAAAAGTTTGTAAGTCTGTAACTGTACCTCACGGTGATTCAATAATAAAAAAAAAAGATGAAATTTTCCAGTAGCACAGCGGGTAGGGCATTTGCCTTGCACGTTGCAGACCTGGGTTCGATTCTTCCATCCCTCTTGGAGAGGCCGGCAAGGTACCGAGAATATTCAACCCTCACGGCAGAGCCTGGCAAGCTGCCCATGGCATATTCAATATGCCAAAAACAGTAACAAGTCTCACAATGGAGATGTTACTGGTGCCAGCTCGAGCAAATCAGATGAACAACGGGAGGACAGTGCTACAGTGCTTACTCAGAAATGATATTTTTTAAGGTCAGGAGAGAGATCTGAACTCAAGACACCCTTTTTGAGGGTCATGTAGCGTGTAATTGGTGTTTGAAGCCATAGGAATGAGTGAGACCATTCAGTGGTGAAGTGTAAGTGAAAGTATTAGGAAAACTAAGGACAAACCTATGGCAACTCTGAGTATTCGACAGATGGAAGGACTGAAGTGCAGCCAGATAGATAAGAGGGAAACCAGGAGGGTGTGGCAAGAGTGAAGGAAGAGAATATTTCAAGAAAAGAGGAGTAGTAGTGTGAAATGTTGCTGAGAAGCCATTTTATGACATGACTCTTGTAAAAATTGTAGAACAAAAGGACTCAGGAACTGAAAAAGAATGATCTTTTTATCCATATGTCAATCAGTGTTCCCACTAGGAAGCAAGTGGCAGACAGGGTATAACCAGAGAGTTTACTAGACAATTTGCACAGGGGAGGGCAAACTCAAAGGGACCAACTAGCAGGATTTTCATTACATTTCAGGGGCTATGACTGTAATGGCACCAGAAGTGCCACAGAGCAGGGAAAGGGTAAGGAGGGGAGATGGTATAGCAGTGAGTGAAGATGGAGGAGGGGAGTTGTCCATAGAGATCAAGCTCCTAGAGGAAGAGAATTGTGAGAATGGAGAGTCAGCAGAGCAAGCACCAGTGTACTTGATAATTAAAAATGGTCTCTCCTCTGATGAATAACTTATTCCTAATTTTATATACACCCATTATATGTTTACACATATATACACACATTCAGTACATCCCATTCATAGGCATACACCAATTGCTGCAAATATTGGTATTGGTAGAACTTGTTAATTCATTAATAAGCCAGACATTGCATGACTGAAAACAGTAAGATGACTAGTCTCTCAGAAGGTCTGGAAATTAGAATTTATGAATCAGACAGGAATTGGCAGAAGAGAGTTTGGTGTGATAAAAGATGTGTAAAATGGGAAAGGTCAGAGACTTCTGGTTTCAAGACGTCAGAATAAAGACGTAGCTACTCTCTCTTTCTGTTCCTTACTCATCTTTTCTGAAAAACCATCCCCAAACAACAGGGAAAATGAGAAAGGAGTCATGAGTTCCATCTTTGATAAATCAAGGAGACACAAATAACCACAAGAAACAAATATGGAAATGGGTGGAAAGACAGGACGTGATTTAACGGAGTAGAAAAAGGTCAGAACCAAGTGCCTCAGGAGGGGTGTATATGGAAAGTAAACTGACTCACCATTTTCCAGAAAGTCTTAGGAATGAGAGGCACCAATACCTAGGGGAGCAGGGTGACGCTGCAAGTAGACATTTATTGAAAGCCTTTCTGAGGGGCAGTTAGACCAACAAAGTTTACCCAGCTTGTTAAGAATAGCTCCCCTCACCTTCGTAGGTAATCTCTGGAGAAATAGCCAGAAAGCATCATCTGGACTTGAGGAGACTGAGGACTGAGAATAGTAAGGTGAAAATAAAACTGAAAACTGGAGTATTAAAGAACATCCTATATCTGGACAGTGCAATGTCCAGGTTCAGTTTTGTTCTTCTAGGCTTCTCTGGCACACTGGCATGGCAGCCTTGTCACTCTGTATGCCACTAGGAATAGTGGAAGATCATTCTCGGAGGAAACTGAATTCCCCTATTGAGAGCATCTCGAGATACTGACATTTGGTGTCACCTTCCCACAAAAATCCCCCAACTACTATATGATCCCAACAGAAACCCACTGTACAAAGCTACTAAACATTGGCTTTTTAGTAACTCTAAAATATGATAGGTCATCAGAGAAAAGAAATGAGGAAATGAGGCAGTTGTGAAATATGGGAAAACCAAAATTGGTACCAGAAAGGAGATAAATAATTCTTCATTCTTTAGTTTATAACTGAACAATAGTCTTACTAATAAACTGTGTATGGCTCTAACTAAAATTTTCAATTTAAATTAGTTTAGAAATATTGAGGGTGGTACAGAGATGGCAGGAGTTAAAAATTCTTATTTACCATAACAGGAAGGTAGAAGATAAAATTTAATCTGAAAAATCAGGTAATAGCATTTTTCTTAGGGTACTCAATCATTTAGAGCAAGTGTGAAAAATATG